CAAGTGATTGTGAAGACCATGGCCTGTATCAGACGCACCTTAGTCTCCAGAGACACCATTGCTCTTCAGTACTTTGGAGAGGTCCCTAACAGCAGACTTTCCCATGGCAATGCGCCTTTTAATTTCCTGGCTGCTGGTGCCAAGACTGTTGACTATGGAGCCAAGCAAACTAAAGCTGTGTACAATCTCAATCTCTTCACCATCCATCCTGATGCTGCCAATTGGTCCAGTGGTGAGAATCTTTGTCTTCTTGACATTGAGCCTCAATCCATATTGTAGGCTGCAGTCCTTGATACTCTGCAGCAGGCGCTTCAGGTCCTCTTCAGTTTCAGCAAGCAGGGTTGTGTCATCCACGTAACGCAGATTGTTGATAAATTGTCCACCAATCTTGACCCCACATTTCTCCTCATAGAGCCCAGCCTCCCGTGTAATCTGTTCTGCATAACCTGAAATGTTGTAAAGGGCTCCATTCCATGACTATATAACTAAAAAATACTAATTGACATTGAATTATAGCTGACTTTCCAACAGGTTTTTGGGAGGCTGTAAAACGTTTGGAAAACGATTACCCATCTTTAGCCCAGGGAGCTACTCATGGATTTCATCAGAAGAGAGGCAATGCCTTCGGGTTAGCTGTGCGGCTTCCTTAGGCCTGCATCACCAAAGCTCCATCCAAGATTGTATGTTGTTAAGTGCCTTTGAGTTGGAACCAACTTAGAGCTGACCCTCTAGTGAGTTTTCAGAGGCAATAGATCATATGGGAGATTATCCATCTTTTTCCCACAGGACAACTGGTGGATTCAAACTGCCATGTTTTTGGGTTGCGAATGCAACCTATTATCACTAAGTCACCAGAACTCTCTCCAAAACTATAGGTTGTTGTGTGCACTCAGTGGGGTGTGACTCATAGCGACTCCTTGAACAATAGATCTGAACCCTGCCCTATCCTGTTCTATCTTCATCATCTCTCACACACTTGAGCCCATTGTTGCAGCCACTATGCCAGTCATTTTTTAGAATCTTCCTCTCTTTTGCTGATGTTTCCAACTATGAGATTCATTTCCAAGAATACAAGGGTAAGTATAAATAAACAAGTATGGAAGTGAGAAGGTAGGTATAGTCAAGGAAGTTTGCAGCATTAGGAGAATTGGACCAAATTCAGGCAACACACACACACACACACACACACACACACACACACATCCTATTTTACCTTTATTCTCTTAGTTGGCATCATAAATGAGTTGTGCCAGAGATTGTTTATGGTTTGTTGGATTTAACAACTTTATGAACAGTGCTCCTTGAAAGTCTCTCCTTGCTTTTTGAAATATACTTATGTTAGTTTTACAATCAAAAAATAGGACTTTGTTTTCCAAAGCCATTAAGCAGTTTTAAGTATTACCATAGAAGATTCACTTGAATTCTCCTGTTCAGATGTGCAGGAGCCCATCAGGATCCTGGTACAGTGAAAAAGATTTGTTCTTTGGTAACCCAGCTTCCTTTAGAAGAAGCCGATAGCCAAAACTACAGCAACGCCATACAACCTCCCCTTTATTCTTTCTACCACCCCAGGCCACAGATTTTTTTTTTTTTTAATTCTTTGTGCTTATTTTCACGTGGTACCACGTGGTTTGGAATCTTGACAATTTCTGAAACTTTTCTGGATTGTGCCAGAAAATGACTCTTTAAAACACACAGTTGAATGAAAGAATGGTTTGGAGATGTTAGTTCATATTTACTGCAGATAAGAGATATATTTAATGAAGTTTGGAAATGTCTAGCTTAAAGACATGTACTGGATAAATTATGTATATTGTATTGAAACAGATGAGGGAAAGAACAGATTAGAAGTGATATATGATTGAGTATTATGGTTAGCACAGGAATCCAGAATTAAGGTTGCATAGAGAAGTGTACTCGGGGTGGGGGTTGGGGGGAAGGGACGTGGGAATTGTATGAAGGAATTTTTTTCTTTTTTTTTTTTCTCTCTTCAGAGGGGGAAGTGAGCTGGTGGGGAGGGGGTGGGAAGGGAGAAAATTGCGGCAATGAATGAATGGAAATCCAAAACCTCTGTAAAAAAAAAAAAGAAAGTGGAAGTGTAAGGTTAATAAACTCTTAAAAAAATTGGCTCACAAATGTGTATTGAACACCTACTTTGCAAAAGGCTGTTAATGAGGTTTAAAAGTCGAAGATAAAGGAAGCCCTGCCTTGAATTAACTGTCCTTTACTTGGGCAAACAAGCTCAAACTCTAAGAACAATGCAACACTTAAATAGTGAGGCTAGGCAAAATAACAGGCATTGCATGATCAAGCTTACAGAAAGATGTTTCCAGCAATTTATCCTCCTGGTCTGTTTTTGTTGTTAAGTGCCATTGAGTCGTAGACAGTTCATAGTGACCCTGTGAACCAAAGTCTTGAACACGAAAAACTTTAATCCTTTTCCTAAGTTCATAGAATTTCCGGAGGCAAGCTATTTCAGAAGTGGATGCCACTGCTGCTTCTCATCTCCTGGTTTAGGATACAGTTATTTCAAAGCAGGGGAAGGCAGAGCCAACCTTTTTGTCTTTGATTCACTCTCTTGGTGATTTCATGTGTTACAGTGTCTTTTATTGGCTGTGGTCTTGTACTGCTAACACAAAGTACTTCTCTGGTGGTTCAAATCCACCAGTGGCTCCTCAGAAGTAGGAGGAAGCAATTGACAATTTACAAAAACCTGCCAAAAGGCCAGCTATGTTTTGGTTCCGACTTGATGACACTGAGGTTTTCATTTTTAGAGTCTTTTAGGAAAAGCCTCTTAGATTTCAACTTGTAACATCATCAGGTTTCTGAGAGTGCACATCTTTGTTCTATAAAGAAGCTGGTAGACTCAAACTACAGACTTTCTGGTTAATAGCTTGATATATTAAGAACTTTGCCACCAGGACTCCTTGAAAAGCCCCTAAGTGACTAAAGAGGTCTGCACGGCAGGGCTGACCTAAACCTTGGTGGTTTCTAACCTTTTTCTGCCCTTAACATATAGCAGAAGAAAGACCTGGTAAATTTGCTTTTATAAAGACTAACCCACTGTGGTGGAGTAAATTCCACTCACAGTGACCCTCCATAGGATCTTGGGATATTTCTCATCTTTCTTCCACAGCCCACCAGGTGGATTCAAACTTCTGTCCTTTAGGTTAATAGTGCAACACTTAACGCACTACACCACAAAAGTTCCGTTCCATAAATATTAATGCCAACAAAATGCAAGGTAGTTCTACTCTATACCACATGGAGTCACTGGGAGTGGGTATTGGCTCCAAGCAACAATCACTTTTATAGGTTAAACCACCAACCTTTAGGTTAAACCACCAACCTTTAGGTTAAACCACCAACCTTTAGGTTAGCCATAGAGGGCAAACCTTTGTGTCACCTAGTGACACAATCACAGTGACAGTAGAAAGCCCTGGAAAATCCTCTCCAGGGAGGTAGACATTAATAGCTAAGACCTAGGTAACCTAAGAGGGAGGCTGCAGAGCCTTGGAGAGAGTGGAATGTGCTTGCAATAGAGGTGGACGTTAGAAGGGTGCAAGAAGTTGGATAGTAAATGCCTAGTACCTGGTTGAGAGGCTAAGATTTTTGTCTTGTGAATGCAAGGCCGATAGCAATTTTTAGCACCAGATTGCTAAAGCGTGAGATCCCTTTTCCTTTTCTCCCTCTCCTCTGTTTTCTTTGTTTTTTGTTTTTTTTTTAAATAAGCAAAACAAAACAGGAACCTGATTTGACAGTCAAGGGACATTTCCAGCCACCTGGTGATAAGGCTGCGAAGGGGAAGCTCACAGTATTCTTGGCCCAGAAGTAGTCCCTCAGGGGGTGGAGCTCAGGGGAGTGGGAGGAGATTGGGCCAGGTAAGATCAGACCTATTCCGGTTTTTGAAAATTAATAGCTAGTTCCCCAAACGTGTCCAGTGGAGGGCAGGAAGAGACTCCACTGCGGCAGAAAGTCCCATTTCAAGGCACTCTAACGATCCCAATGCCTGAAATGGTAAACAGTGGCTGCAAAGTACACACTGAGCTTCCCCAAAGTGTCTTGTTGATGATATATGGCCAATGTTGCCAGGCTTCGTCTACCTCTTCTTCATGAGAAATAGAAAATTAATAACGCCGATGAAATGTCACAGCGAAAAATGAAGGATCATAGGTATATATTAAAGGGTTCCAGGGGGGAGAAAAACCCCTACAAAAACAACCAGTATTTTCAGTCTCTCGTCCTTGTCGCCCCATCTGCCCGCTCCGAGGTGGGGGACAGGGAATCACGAAGCCCCTGTGCACCGGCTCTCCTCCCTCGCAGCCAGCAGATGGCTCTCGGGTTCCCTCGCCCGCTCCCTCGCCCCCTCGCCAGACGCCAGGCTTTTGCGGTTTAGGAGTGAGGCTGCGAGCAGGGGCGCGGTGCCCGCAGCCGCTGCGGCTCCTCGCAGCTTCAGCCGGGATCGCGCCCCGCGAGGGGCACTGAGAGCCCCGGGCGCCGGGAAAGTCGGCCTGGGACCCGAGCGCGGAGGCCGGCTCTCGCGAGGTGAGGAGACGCAGAAGGAGGAAAAGGAGGAGGAGAAGGAGGAGGAGAAGGAGGAGGAGAAGGAGGAGGGCCGGAGCTGCCCCCGCCCCGCTGGAGCCCGACAGGAGAGCGAGGAGAGCCGCCTCCCCGCCCGCCGCTCCCCCCGCCTCTTCCCCACGCCTTCCGCC